CCTGTATAGTCCTGATTTTTTCGTCCTATACAATGAAATGAAACTGACTCGACCAGGACTAAAAAAATTATCTATTTTAGTAGTTATGGACAACTCGCGCTGACCTAAAAAATTACTATGCCAAAATTGTTTCACAAAAAAAAGTTAATGGTTCCTAAGACAGTTTTCTTGTATCTTCTATGGTTTCGGATATCCCCGTACTGTTCCATTTAAAAAAAAATTGTATATGCATGATGCACGTTAGAGGTAATGTACAAGCTACATACGTCCCAACATATAGGTCGCGCGTCCCACGGAGAATTCTCGAACAATCTCGGGAATTTCCGCAGCTATCAGACGGTATCTATTTGTACGTTAAGCATTTGAGATATAATGTTTATTATGCAATGTACAATATTGTTAAAATTCGCTTTAAAAATTAAAACTTATTTTGAGCTCTGTGTGTCTATTTAAAATTTTGGTTGCCCTTTGTCTATCCATTTTAACAAACAAAAAAGATTTGACAAATCACTTATCATTGCGTACTTACATTCTCTTTTGTATTTAATTATATATCATTCTATAACAGATTCCATTTGTTTAATAATAATCGACAAAACATTGTCACGTTAAAAAGTGTTCATGATTAATAAAGAAAAATATTTTGTACTACATTTTATATATTTTTTTACCACATATAATAGTTACTTACACAATAAAAAAATCACACACATATACTTTTATACATTTTTTTAATATTTAAATGCTGACTATTTTCTTAAAACTACATTTTCTCGAACATAAAAAAAACAAAGAAAAATTAATAAATAAACACCGAAAATTGTCTATCTACTCAAAAGTCTGTACAAAAGTATGTACAAAATAATAAATTATTTTATTTACTTTTCCTTTATCAACTATTATCTAAAAAAAAGTCAACTACATAAAAAATTGTGCGAATAATTGCTAATTGTATAATATATGTACTTTCTACACGCAAAATACAAAAAAATCACACACACACACAACATTGTTTTTGACTTTAAGAAACAATTACAAACGTGTTTGCCATATACAACATAAGGACGCCTTCCAATTAGATGCTTATAAAAGCGGTACAGTTCGCGACAGTCGCGCCGCTATTAACTTTCATACAATAACTAGACTTCAAAAGTGGCGCCACTGCAACGTTACTATGAGGGTCATAGTAGAGTTACCTCATATGCATGCCACTGCTGAGCGAAAGTCCATATCAATGTTAAATAAGTTTTAACTAACTGCGCCGGGTAGTAAAATATTAACAACCTCGTAGGACTTTATTACTAATATTATAAAAAACAACTTTAATACATTACAAAACAATGAATTTACCAAAAATTAATTACTAAATTATCTGACGCTTTGTAGATTTATATTTGGTAGTAAGTTCAAACGTGCAAGCGTTCTCAACGACGACCCCCACCCCCGTTCCTGCGTTTTGCATCGGCATTTACGCTAGAGCTTAAAAGTCATGGAACAAAAGTTGTTTATAACATTACTAACATACTCCTGATAGGCTGTTATATGAAAAGGAAAAAGTTGTTTAAGAAAAATAAACCTTGGTGTGAACAAGTTAAAAATAAACCACGTATGTAATTACAAGTAGGCAAGGTTGTTTATGACCGCGACACGGCACAAATATTGAATTCTAACACCAATGTTCGTGAAGAAATCATCGTCTTTGAACTCCGCAACTTAGCGAGGTCAAATTCCTTGTTATACTTTACAACCAACTTTGCAACCAAGTTATCTCGGATGTGGCCAAAAAAAGAATTACATCTATATGTAAGTAAGAGTAAGTAAGAAACGTAAAAAGTAAGAGACTATTCTCTTTGGAGTGAAAACTTGGCACACGCGTTTTCACATAGTTCGTTTTTACTGATTTTTATTAAAGAAAAACTTATAAACTTCTGGCTCAAATATATTATTAAAGTGATATTGTATCTGAAAGAGGTATAATTTAACTAATTAAAATGCTAACTACAAACATTATTGCGTTTACTACATTTTACACCACATTTTTATCTTCGTCCTGAAAAATTACATAGAAATCACATACGAGCATTTCACTCTGAAACAACTATGTATATAACATTAAACATTAGGTGAACTCGGATAACACGGATCTTTTCGAACGCTGTTGCCGTAAGTTGTCGTATATGTAGTTTTCAGGGTATTATCGAAATAAAGATACTGTTATGGACAGGCATGTCGATTAACGTCAGGCGCACGACTTGTTCATTCCGTCACTTGGCATAAAAAAAAGAGTACATTATACAATCATAACGGGTCGTCTACTCATGTCGCCCCCTGGTGGCTAACGAGGGAAGTGTTTTGCCGCAAGCAGCTCCTCTCTCTACTAGGTTCCTGGTTCCGTGATATTCGTTTTTAAATATGTTTAAATACTTTCGAGTTTTGGAACATTGCATGGCCAATAAACAGTAGATACCAGCGCCATTTATTATTTATGACATCCCTCTTCACAGCAAATAGACCGCGGCAATTACATACGAAATTGTATTAGATATTGTAACGAACCTTTGTTAAAATATTGTTTTTTTTAAATAATAGACACACGCAATCTCAACTAACGTTGGGCGAGTGTTTGTATAAAACCATCTTATTCACTCAAACCTTGAATAGCGCCAAATTGTAGATACTTTTTCGGTAAACACGGATGCCGGCTGTGTATTCCATACCTTTGCCAATATAAGAATAGAGTGATTATAAGTATAGTCCATTTGTTTAAATGTAAACAATCTTGACACATCTTTTTATTGAAACATATACGTTACAAATCAATAGAAATAAAAATAGGCATGCAATTTCATATGAAGCTAAGTATTTGAATGTAACTAAGCACGTTTCTTACCACGATACTATTTCTTTCTATTTTACCGATATTTCGGAACGGTTACACGCTTACTATGGAAGCAACACGGTAGTGCCACAAGTAATCGAGCTATCTTCACCCATTTTATATTCCACTGGTGGCAATAATCTCCTTTCAGGCGAGAGTTTAAAGGCTATAGGCCGCCACGCAGGCACAATGCGGGTTGAGAACTTCACAGGTTTCCGTCACCGAAAAGCTCGCGGTAAATTTCGCAAACAAATTCCGAGAAACTCGGGAGGCGCGAACCCGGTAGGCCAAAGCATTAGGCTACTACGGGAGCGAAGAGCAAACTGATTTATTCACAATAACACTCTTGTGAAGTTGAAGCTACAGAATAAGGTTTTATTTTATTTGTATTGATTTTCTTAGAACCTATACACACGGCGTACTTTATACGCGCCGTCGACGCGCGTTTTTATCATCGCGGTGAAAGCAGGAAGCTTATATACTCCACTGAAGTTTACACTTAGATTTTCATGTTGAAGACTACTTTTGCTGTGAATTTTTTAACCTTTTCACCCTTCGCGTCTCGTGCAATGCATGCAAAATTACACCCACACTTTAACACCCAAAAACGAATAGCAATAATTTAATATAGTCAATGATTTCTTTTAAATATATTTTAGGGTATGTTTAAAACGACGCAATTTGCGTGCTTTTAGATTTTTTTTAGTTGTTTCATTTCAAACACTAACTGAAATTAACAAACAAAACTAAAATTAAACCGCGATTACAGCGCGTTTGCGGCACCACTGAATTTATGAAGGTGTGCAAAGGTTTACTCGCTGCGATTGCATCGCGTTTGAATCGCGTTAACGCGGGTCATCTGCGCATCGTCGAAGCGTATAAAATACGCCGTGTGTGCACAGGCTCTTAACGCTTTTACTACCATTACATCTATTTTACACTAATTTGTTATTATTATCAGGTATCTCGCTCCGTTTTAGAAAAAAGCCATTGTGGCCACAAATTAAAAGATAAAATAAAAAACAACAAAATAAGGAAGAAGACCAAAGCTAAAGACGCTGCAAAAAGAATTCTTCAGTTAAAGTGGAAATGGGCCGGACACATCCAGAGCTACGGACGAGAGATGGTCCAAAACCGTTACGAATTGGTACCCAATACATGGAAAACGTAAACCTGGAAAACGTCGTAAGGGTAGCAAGCAAAGTATGGAGTAGAGCCGCTAGAGATCGAGAAAAGTGGTGGCATTTACCGCTGAAAATGTGCTCCTTATATAGAACAGGCATTAAATACTTACAAATATTTTAGCCATCTGTCTACATATTAATAAGAAAAAAAAAAATTAATACATAGTTAAAATAAATAGAAATCGTATTATGGAATAAGGCTAACATTTAAGTTTTTAGTTTATATAATATATGATATTATATAATATTTAACTTTCTAAGGTGTTATTTAAGGTCAGAAATAAAGCCTTTATTATTATTATTATCTCGCTCCGTAGATCAGTTGGCAGCCACATTGAGGCGACAGGTGCTGGTTCAAGTCAAATCGGATCAAAGGAATTTGTTTTTGTTCTTATTATTAATAATTAAGTAAAATAGACACACGTGTGACTACAATCTCACTATACGTGATGATATCACCAGTTATGACCAAAGAACAGACAAGTTGGTGGCACTATTCAATTCACGAGCTCACGACGTCATCAAGTTCACGGTATTGGCGTATGGTCATTAAATACACTAAAACGACAAATGGCTATTTGATATCAAACAAAAATACGTAAGTGTGCAAACCGTGTGGATTTTTTTTTAGTCCCAGCTCATTATATCTGTCGTTTTAAAATATGACTAGGCGCTTTTAAAATAAATGCCGAAATGTAATAATCTTTTAATTTTAATTCTTTTTTATTTTTCATTGTTTTATTTTTTATTCTGTTTTAATTTAAATTCTGTTTCACTTAATAATTATAATTATTTTGTATATAAATACTTATCAGATCCTAAACAGAATCGTAATAAGTGTTCATGGTAAGGCCCCAAGGTCACGTGTGAAATACACAGATCTTACGCCGAACATTCGGCCAAATCACTATTCGTGGCATCTCTATAATATAGCCCGTGAGGTTGGTAGTATATAGTTGGTAACTTACATTCGATAACTGTGTTCTGAGTAACGTTTGTAGCCTTTGCCGGTCGAGAAGTTGAAGTAATCGTTTGAGTGTGACGTAATTTCGGTTCCGTTTCGAATACGACTGTTAGACGTTCGATTCGGGTGTTGTGAATAAAAATTAAAAGAAATCGTACGATAGCACATCGAATCGGTCGACAACTGAATTATCGTAACGTTCTGAATCGACCCCCAGATCAGCCAGTGTACAAGGTTGTCACACACCGTTGTCACAGACTTCAACCGGTTCTCGAGAGGATGGTGCCTCCGGTGAGCCGCCTTGGGTGCTCGTACAATACCCACCCTATTTTCCAGATAAGTACCGGAGCTGTAGGCACCCCGTTGCGTATTGCACAACTAGCGGTTGCCACCGCTAAGTCGATGGACTCTAAAATCCATTACCAAATCTCCTCATTAGTGGCGGAGCTGTAAGACACGCTCACTTCCCGACGCCGAAAAACGGCTTCTCTTTAGTTCCCAATAACCGAAGCGGTTAAGACGACTAGTGTTGTGCAACGCTAGAGCATCCTTAAATTATGTGTGTGCGTCCGTATACGAGACGCGGCGGGCGCGCACACATACAAGACGCGCTGCTACTTTTGTATGGAGCTACAGTTAGTATAAACTTATTTATAAGCATTGACATTTTATGTCCGATTAAATTCAGTAACTCTTGTATTTTTATCGACGAAACTATAACGCTGGCAAACACGCTTGTTCAAACAAACAAAGTACTTTATGTATTAATTCATATTGTTCAGAATTCTGTACCATGCCTCCTCTATTTAGCCGCATATTACACACTATACCTAACACGTCCACTTTCTGTTCATTTATCAATTGTTTGATACCATTTAAGATGGCTATGAGACATCCTGTTCTGCCTATACCGGCTGAACAGTGAATTATTATAGGAGGTGCATGGTCTAATGAAAAATCTAAAGGTATTGACGTACCGACATCAAAATTAATTTCACACTTCTTTCCTTCCGTCTCCAGTGGTGGAAAGACGAACTTTGAATCCGCTTTGGGACTTTCGCACTGACAAATATCTTGGGCAACTTCGTTTGTCTCACTAAAATCATATTTCGTGTCTCTCAGGACGTCCAAACTTAGATTTAGTAAAGCATTCACGTCTTTAGGACACTTATGATCGGCCCAATTGTGGAACCAATAGTGATGCACTGTTATTTCACTGGTGTTCACTGCACACGCACCTTCACCATATTGTTCACTACCGCTGTGTTCACTTACACTTTTAAGATTAACATCGTATTTTACGTTAAGTTTTCTAATTGTGTAGCCCGGTTTTTTCACCATACCCACGTTTTTGATAATAAATCTGTTATTTAGCATTTCAGTATCATCGAAGAAACTTGTGGATTCGGTGTAAACAGGACTGTAAAAAGTTTCTTCCTCGTTTAGTTCTAAGGGAAAGTACTTTTCACACTTCTGTCTATTGTTTTCGATGAAATTCGTCAACATGACGAGTTTTTGAACACCAAAATTCGTACTCGAAGGACCAGGGTCGTGAGGGCGTTGTTCACAGAAATTTAGATTGTTCTGAAGGACCATTAACCAGAAATCGTAGATCGTATTCTGGAGTGGACCTTGAGTGGCGATGTAGCTGTTTTTCGCATATTCGTGCCCCTGGAAATGGTAAAATTGTTGAAAAATGTGCTCAACATATTATTAAGAACAATATAAATATATTCAAATGTATTCTGCCCTCTTTATCATAACTAACGTAATCAACAACAATATCAGTAGCAGCAGTAGGGTTCCTTGTGAAAGTTCGTCCAGGGAAGCACTGCCACCTTACTTGTTTCTGTCGCCAAGTAGTAATGTTGACATAAGTTGACAAGGCACATGGGGCTTGTCAACTTATGTCTCAGGTTGACGGACGCAGTGGGTGTGCCCCTCAGATCTTTGCGATTTAAAGCTCTGCGTGACACTATAACTGTTATGAACAGGCATGTAGCTTACCATCAGGCGTACGACTTGTTCGTGCCGTCACTTGATATTATAAAAAGAAATTAAATACTCTACAACCCCCTCTAATCGGTTTTTTAATATCTTATTTAGTTTTACTGTTAAGCAAGACTTTTTAGGTGACAATAAAACTTTAGGTTACGGTAAGGAGGGCAGTATTATAGATAGTAATAATACAGGATAGAAGAAAAAGCGTATCGACTTTTGTAGCAAGAATCAAATTAGTTAAAAACGATTTTACACTGTCAAAACATTCAGACATTGAGTTTTTTAAATTATTCAACATCATATTGCATTAAGTTCATAATACTTTACAATGTGTATACAACTTATTGGTTCCAAGCAAATATTACAAATGGCGCAGTATGGTTTACATGTATTCATACTTATGATTTGTAAATATTAAGATAAGCTTCTTCAAGTCTTTAATAATAATGTACCTACTTCGAAGTTATCTATCTATTTAATTTTGTTTATGAATTGAAGAAAATTAACACTTCTTTCCAGATGTAGTAATCTTTCTTTCCATCAAGAAAGAAACGTGCATTTTTAAGTTACGCAACTTGCCAGACTGAAGTCGGCCACTTTATGCAAGGTTATCATAGCTGCGACAAATTAGTGCATTAATAGATACGTAGATGTATAGACTATTTCAATCCATAATACAGAAAAAGTGAACAAACAGGTCATTGACCTGACCATAGACACTATAGTGATGGCCACTTCCACTGCCAACCACAAATCAATTACTTAATTTAATGAACCAATTTGTACAATTGAATCAGTCGGAATAAGTTTTTTTTTACGATTTAGCTGCTGATTACTTACAAAAAATACCAAATAAATTAGTGACAAATGGTCAGTCAATTAATAAACAAAACTGAGACTTTGCGTCGTACTAGTAAATACATGCAATGTTAGCTTGGTGTTAAAATTCAAAATATTATGTGTTTCATTTATTAAATTGCTAGATTTACTGTTAGCGACTTAAAATAATAGACCGTGAATTGACTTGCTAATTGTGTTTGTGGCGCCTCTTGCGGCAATTACAGTGACTGTATTATTGAAACATTTTCTTTGTTTTTACTTTATTGGAGTTTGGTTGGAAAATATGTGTTAGTTTGGTAATTAATAAACATTGTCTACTTATATACTACATGACCTGTAAAAGTATAACATAATTCCCGAAATCTTAATTCTATAATCTTAATTCAATCACAACCGAACAAGTATCTAAGTGTAAGAATGCTTGTTCGATTGTAATTGAAATGTTCGATTAAGTAATCGATTACGAAAACTTTGCTTTGATGTACCAAATGATTTACTACACAACCATAGTGTTGTGGACTTCAGTTAGAGTAACGATGTAAAAACATTATTCAAATGAATATTGTTGGAAAAAAATATGAGATATCAAGTCGAAAGTGTTACTTATTCCAGTTATTGAGTGATTGCTTTCGAATTTTAACCAAACCCGTTTGTTCACTTTTTCTGTATAATGCATTGAAACAGACTTATAAATATGGTAATACTAACCTTAATAAAATTGGCGTTAATGTATCCTTCGCTGGCCACACCGGCGTTAGATCGCAGAATAAACCTCGAGTGTTCATTGGGCAAAATCGTCTTATACCTATTCTTAGGATGTGACCCAGAAACTATAGGTTTCTCTTGAAAATTCGTTGGCATATCCCAAAATTCTTGATGCAAATTTCGTAACAACATTTTCTGGTATTCTGAGCATGGTTGTGCTAATTCTGGTATAACCATTTGTGGATTTTCTTTAGATATGTCTGAATCCACACGGTTCGAACAGCAGTGTTGACCTTCTGTAGTACTGTGGCACTTAACTTTCGAGTATCCGTTCTGGAAAACGTCGTTCAAGTCTCTTAATTGTTGGCGGGAGAGAACACTTGAAGCATTTTGCAGATGCTGCATATTTGCCAAATATAATCTAAAGTCTTCAGATGTACTTTGTGGACTCAGCGGTTTTGTAGTTATATTCCTGACGAAACCTTGTTGGAAATTCGGATCTTCCTGCCTGCCAAACGCATAAATAATCTCGTTCTCCTGATCACCGCCTACGTAAGTCAGATTTTGGGTGTATTCCTGGTCTGTGGAGAACGATGCTGACCATAAATTGTCATGAGAACCAAAGCCCATTCCTTTGTCATTATTACGTCTACCACGACTCTTGTAAGACTTTGGAATTAAGTTTTCTGTACTTAAAGATTTTCTATGTTTATCTCTATGGGGCAGGTTATTTAGGTTAGGTTCTATAAGATTTTCGTCAATTTCCAAATCTCTTGGTTCTTGAGGTTGTTGTATGTTAAGAGTTAGAGAAGTATTAGAACTACGTCGCTCTAAGATACCTTTCCTAGGTTCTGTCGTTGGGTTATCAATGCTATGATTGCTATTATATCTACTCAAGTTGCATGTTGAACCGTTTAGATTATAATTTGAGATGCTCAAGCTCCGATTCACAGATAATTGTGGGTTAGAGTTATTGATGTTTAATGTAAGACTTGTATTAGAACTTCGCCGTTCTAGCAAACCTTTTTTCTGAGGAGGCTTTGCGTCTTTGTTCAAAGAACTATTACTTGAATGCCTGCTTAGGTTGTTCGATGAGCATATGTTTAAGGTAAGGCTGTTGTTTGAACCTCTACGTTGTAAAAGGCAGTTCTTAGACACTTCTCCACTTAAATTAGTGTTTGAAGAGCAAATAACCCTGGTTGTTGGTGTCAAATGTTCAGTATTCAGCATTGTGTTCGAATCTCTCCTTTCTAAGGTCAGTTTCTTCTGTCGTCCATCTGAATTTAGGCTAAAATTGCTAATACTTGTTCTTACAGTAGTTAAATTATGACAAGACGCGCCAGAACTATTTAACGAACAGTTGGAACTTTGTAAACTATGCGTGCTTAGCAAGAGACTTTGATTCGAATTCCTTCTGTGTAACTTTTTGACGACCTTCTCATCTTCTGTCGGTTCGAAATCGTCTGACGGGACTCCTTCTGGTAAAGTTTTAAGATTAGTGCTTGATACGCTTAGGTTCTGTTTGTAGTTCAAAAGATTAGACCCAAGCATATGTCCCGATTCAACCTGGAGGCGATTGTCAGCACCACAGATGTTAATCTCTGGAGGATTTTCAGTAAAATCCGTCATATTCTCGTCGAATGATCCCATAGTTCTGGATCCCATTCGAGATGTACCTGGTTGATATAGCATGAGACTTGCATGGTTCTCTCTTAAAAATATACCAGAATCTTGACCTTTCATGTAAAGTCGGCGTTCTGCATTGCATTGTAAAGTGTTAAAGCCCATTTTACCACCTCCGAAATCGTGTTTCAAGTTCTTTTGTGCCAAAATCCTCTTTATCTGTCTTTTTGGAGTGTTTGGTACTGAAACAGAGTTTTGCGGCACATCCAAAGTTTTCTTCTGTGGCAATGAAAGGTTTACAGTTTCAGAGGAGTCCAGAGAGGTAGCTTTCACTTTCAAAGTTGGTGTTTTAACTTTCTTTTCTTCGTAAAGCTTTTCAAATTCAAGTAATTCTTTTTCTAATTCGCTATCTCGTATCGTTAAATCGATAGTTAAATTTCGTAGGTTCTTTCCTTTTCGTTTCGTTTGCGTTTCGGCTGTTGTAGTTGCTCCATCTTCTGAAGTGACTGTAATTTCAAATTCTTTTGGGGAAAATCTGGGCATGTCTAAGAACGACTGCATATCGGAACTCTGTCTTAAACTTTTCTTAACAAGATCTGGTGATTTAGGTTCATCCTCTACTTTGTCTTTTGGTTCATCATCAAATTTAAATATTGGTTTTTCGCTCTGCGGCGTTTTCGGGTAACCCATGCTCTCACAAGATGTGCTAACATCCTGATTTTTATATGCTTCGTTCATTTGATCTTTCATCTGTTTAGCAATTGGTAAACCTAAATTGTGCTCTATAATTTTCGCGTTGTCCGAATCTAAAGATATCGATTTTAATCTTTGTCGTCTCATGTGTTCTGTACTCGAATGCGTTGGTATCAAGTCCAATTTTTCTGGTTCTTTATCGATTTTTAATGTTTCCATTTTGGCACAACAATCTACTTCATCTTTGCTCATTTCTTCAATTTCCTTGGCTATGATTTCCGCCTTTACTTCTACCTTATTATCATCATAATTAGTTATATTTAGTTCCACATTTTTGTAATTTGTATCGCAGCTATTATGGCGTCTGTATTTCTTTATTTCTTTATCGGCTGGTGGTGTAAACCTTTCTTTTTCAATTGAATTTCGCCCTACATACTTTTTAGGTCGAGCTCTATTCAGTTCTTCCATTACAACGGGTTCGAAAGTAAAATAATTTTCCTTATTACAACTATGGATTTTTGGACTAGGTTTTGCACTTAAAACTCTGGGAGATGAAGGTTTCTCAAATCCATTTCTATTTAAATGTACTCCTAAAGCTTTTGGAGACTGTGGTACTTCAGTATCCCTGGGAGTTTCTGGGAAAAACTTAGGCGACCTCACTGTATCGTAGTAAACAGATATAGGAGAAGGTTCCGGGAAAAACAAAGGCGATACAGTTTCCGGGGGAGTAAAGAAACGTGGTGAACTTATACTGTCTGATAAAAGTTTGGGCGAAAAATCGAACCTGGACGTCGAAGATTTTTCTTTCGCAGAACTGCATTCGAGAACTCTCGGGGAATTCTGCATCTCCAGCCTTTCTTGTTGACTTTCATGAGCTTCGGTAACACTGCACATGTTTAATCTTGTACTGACAGATCGGAACCTTCTCAAGTTACTCGGTGATTCATCTTCCTTTGGTGACATCATCTCTGTTTCCAATTTCACTACACTATCAGCATCGAAACCGAAAACCTCGTTTTCAACTGATTTAGCACTTCCCAAAAACGGACTTTTATCGTCTTTTTCCAACGAAGGAGATCGAGTTGCACTGTATTTCTTCGCTCTCAATTCCTGGTTCAGCTCCGCGCCTAAATCCTGATTAAGTTGACATAAAGGTCTGGGTATAGTCAATTCGGTACTGATCTGGACTAAAGGTCTAGGAATAGCTGGGTATTTATACTCGAATGGTCGCTTGTGAATCCACTGTTCGGGCAGAGGTAGTTTAGGGATGCCCCTATAATCAGAAGTGGAATTGGCTGGGTTGCTTTGTGAAGTGGACGGTTGTGAGACTTGTGAACTTTGTGCAATAGTGTTTTGCGTTGAGTTTTGGACGATAACTATGTGCGGTGGGTTAGGTGGGAGGTCGTCAGGCGGGGGTGGGGGAGCAGCCAATAGCGTGCAGGCAGCGCGCGGTGCGAAACCGGGCGGAGGTTGCACGCGGCGCGTGACCGGCGGTAGCGCGTCCCGAACTATGTGCACCTGAAACGAGATGACACTTAGATTAATACAATAATAATCTCAGTACAGAGTACTAAAAAAACCAACCTCAAAAGTCACGAGAAGACAAGAATTACATCTATTTGCAAGTTTTATTTAAAACGGTTACCCGAAAGTGCGCAAACCCGGAATCATCCCCTAGTTTGCCACTATACGGAACTTGACACAGGAGATAATAAAAATCGGTTCTCACTACTCAAAGTATATTGAGAGAGAAAAATGGCTTGAATTGGAGAATAGCAAAATCAACCATTAAAATAATTGCTCCTTATAATAAAATTTAGGCGCTATTCATAAAAATGAATTTTCATTCGTGAACAGCCACCCTTAGAGGTGGATGATTTTCTTCAAAATTAAATGGGACCACTATGGAGGTACCCTCTTTCCAACGAATCATAAAATTCGGTTCACAAATACCAGAGTTATAGCGTAACATACAAACAAAAAACATACAGGTTAAACATACATTCGGTTAAAAAATAACTAATATCATGGCCGTGGTACTCTAATGGTTAGGTACGAAATTTAATTTGAACACCATGAGCTTTCGGTAAAAGAAAACATCGTATCTAAACCATCACGTTGAAGAAAGTTCACAATACACAAGGCGCATGACAAACCATCGTGTGGTGTCATTTTTATAACTTTTGACATACAACTTTGGTGTAATTGATAATTTACCCAGTCCATTTATTCCCTTTTACTCCACTGTATTTATCACATTATGCCTCCTAACAATAAGGAATATTTTGGCTTTATTGCCCCAAAACACATGTTTAAACATGCCTCTTTTACCCTGTCTACTATCTAAACAAAAGTATTACAAATTAAAAAAGGTATATCCACATGGAAGCGACCGTGGAACTGTGAATTAAAGAGCACCCATTCACATACTATACTTCAGTTTTTAGAATTGCAAAAAAATGTAAAGAAAGAAATGGTTGTAAACCTTTTTATTCAGATAACGAATTACAGTAAGGGAAAGCCATCGTGTGAATCGATGACAAATGGTGTTTACAAATGACGCGGTAATGTTATTATTTTATAAAACGTTTCCGTTTAATGTTTGAAACATCTATTTCTTCCAAGTCTTTTTTTACAGTGCAAGTATTTGAAATAGAATGACTGAATGAAAAAATAACAGATCTCAAAAGTTGGTGGAATTACATTTATTTGCTAAGTTTTATTGCACAGAAACGGGAATTGGGTGAAATCCAATAAACCGGATTCATCCCCTAATTTGCCACCCTTATAGGTGGAATATTTTCTTCAAATTTGTATGGGTCCACTACTGAGATACCTCTTTTCCAACAAAAAAGAATCATCGAAAGCGGTTCATAAATGCCGGGGTAATCGTGTAACCAGTGTTGGGCAAAATTTAATTGTTCTGGCAATTAAAGATTGACAATTAATTAATTGTCAATTGCGAAACAGCAATTAACGATTGATCAATCGCAAATATCTACAATTAACAATTGATCAATTTTCAATCTTTTCAATGTTTTTGATTAACAATTAACAATTAAAACTGACAATTATGATAAATTTATAGGGCATAGGGGGATGAGTTAGGGCGTTGGTTATGGGGGCCCCGGTTAAGGGCCCCGGTTGGGAGCCCGGTCGGGGGGCCCGGTTGTGGGGCTCGGTTGGGGGCCCCGTTTCGGGCCCCGGTTGGGGTCCGGTTGGGGGCCCTTCTCGGGGGCCCGGTATGGGGCCCCGGCTGGGGGCCAGCAGGCGCCTAATTGGCCCCTAACCGGGCCCCCAACCGGGGCCCCAACCGGGGCCCCCAACCGGGGCTCCCATCCGGGGCCCCCAACCGGGACACCAACCGGGTCCCCAAGTGGGGCCCCAACCGGGTCCCCCAAGTGGGGCCCCCAACCGGGGCCCCCAACTGGGGCCCTCAACCGGGCCCCCAACCGGCCGGAATTGATTTTAATTGCAATTAAAATCAATTCAATTGAAATCAATTGCAATTAAAATCAATTGCAATTAAAATCAATTTCAATTAAATCAATTGCGACGCGTCGCAATTGATTTAATTGCAATTGATTTTAATTGAATTGATTTTTTAAACTGATTGAATTATTGATTGAAATTTAATTGATTAACGCCAACACTGCGTGTAACATACACACAAAAAAATACACAGTCGAATTAAGAAGCTGCTCCTTTTCGTGAAGTCGGTTAAAAAAGATTCCAAGTTTACTTTCGTCTAATGCTAAAAACGAGGTACTTGACTACTTCCGCAGTTGCCATTAATCTGCCACCAAGGAACAAAAATGTGTTTCCGGCAAGATGGCAGATGTATTTTGTCAGCGTTGGTATTTATTTTGATTAAACAAGATTCATAGTGTAAAACATTTTATTTTTGTTTCAATTTTTCGAAACAGAACAGCAATTTCATACTTTAAACCCTATTATAATATAAACATTTTTTTAACTATAACGTTTGCCTAAAAAAATGCCTATTCACTCTAGCCTTGAATAGCCCCAAATTGTACTTTTCGGGATATACAGATGGCCGGTAGAGCATTCCATTCCTTTGCCGTAAGCATCAGAAAGGAGGAAGCAAAGCGCGTAGTGCGAATAGGTGGAATATCAACGACATAAGAATGGAGTGCTCCGGACCTTCTAGTCGACCGAAGGAGGAACGGCGAGGGTGGAACTAAATTGAAAAATTCCTGCGCACATTCCCCGAAATGTATCAGATAGGAAACCGACAAGCAGGCTACTTTTCTGCAACAACAACATTTGTTTACATTACGTGATTTGCTTAAAAACCAAAGGCAAAGATATGTAACAAGTACATAGCTAAGTTTGTAAGGTCTGCTGGTTCGTCCCGTAGCTCAATAGAGGGCGTCAATGAATCGAAATAATTTTTCTTTGTGCTCGATCACTGCATTAATAATGTTATTTAGAATTCAATAAGCAATGTGTTTTAATTATTAATACAAAGATCCAACTCTGAAAAAAATTCTACGATCCGGCCGGATTCGCACCGACGACATCTCCTAGCAAACAGTGCCAGACGCTATTTCAACTAAGCCACGGTACCTAATTGAGTGACGAAATACTCATAGATTTCTCATAGATGGCGCTACGGCTAAAAAGTCTTTGAAAAACCAAATACAAAGATCCGACAACAAGCACATAGGAAAATTTCGTTCGGTGACTTAGTTGGCGTAGCGTCTCGCAACTCTGCCACGGTTTGCTAGGAGATGTCGGTTGGAATCGGGCCGGATCGGTTGAATTTTTTTCTGAGTGTACGATCTTTGCATTAATAATTATAACAAACTAGTGGAGTAATTTCACAATAATTTAATATCGTGCTGGTAAAACATTCCGACATTCAATCAAAATCTAAGTAATATCACTTATTTTGTCTATTTATTTGGCTGCACCCTATTGCATGAATTTTTCTGTGCTAAGATTGCCTTGTTGAACTTGCTACTAAGCAATGAGGCCGCTTATTGTACATTACCTCATTTTATACAATAGTGAATATATTATTCATTCATTAACAATAATTATATCATTTCACTTTTATTGATACTGTTCAAAATGACCTCCTCTGACATGAGCACGGTTCTTCAGACAATGAGGTCATAGATGATATCATGCACTACCATCACTTCTAATTCTGTCACTGACTTGACGTAAGATTATTGAGTCACGTGAGTTGTGCCACTTTCTCTTAAATTATATCCTATTTGGCTTGAGTGCATAAAGAACAATGGCAAACTCCCATAGAAATTTTTATTGACATAATTTGTATTCGGTAGTTTATGAAAAATATGTGAAAATATAGCGTTGAAATTCCTGAACAAATTTAGTATCCGGTTTACTATTCTGTGAAGGCTGGAATTAAAGATATTCCAATTTGAAGTTCTGCACTGGTAACTCGAACACTTTTGTGGGTAATTTTAGAAAATCAATAAAAAGTAATTCTGATCTTTATTTAAATTTGTTAAGTTGTCGCAATACACCTCGTGAGAACTTGCGTTCTCCGGCACAAATGCTGATGGGCCGTTTACTGCGCTGCAGATTGCCGGCGTCGGGGGTTGCTGCGACCAGCACCAGTGTCGGTCAATCAACATCTAGAACTGATTCATAGGCAATAAAGAACGATTTGTACTATGACCAGCATTGTAAAAAATTGTCTAAATTAGAGAAGAAAGATAATGTTATTATTATTGATAGAAATAGCAGAGGGAGAGAATTATTATACGAGATTTATCGTGGTAATAGAAAACATTTAATAAAATGTGAATCGGAAAACTCACAATCGCGAAACCTTAAACAAAACACTGAAGTAGCATATTACGTGGATTATGATGAAAATTACGCATCACTTGATGGTGATCACTACTCTTCAGCAGGGTCGCTAGATGATACAATGATTAGTTTGCGTCATCAGTAGGTATCATCGTTGTTTTTTTTCTCTACTTTTTATTTGCTAACTTCCTTTCTCTTCGCATAAGGAAGGAGGAAGTTATATGTATGTACATAATTAAAATTTATTTATAACAACTTTTAACAAGTTGGTGCTGGGTTAGCTTTTAAGGACTATTAGTTAAGGAGTAGTATGTTACATAAGGTATATCTCTAAGTTGGTTAAGGGCAAGATGTTGTGGGTAATCTTAGAAAATTTTAATAAAAAGTCAGTTGTCGTCCATATCGTCTTTCATTTACACAATACACAAATTATTTTTTTGTGAAACGTACTATCTGATTACGTACAGTACGTACTGACTGATTTCGGGAACCCTTTTTTGTCAGTTTTACCATTTTCACGCGTGGCGTTTTGGAGAAGGAATTATCTACTTTGTTTTTTGTAACAAAGTAGTGAATCACTTATTACAAATCGCTCGAATCAGATATTACGTGTGGACCATATCCACACGCAGGTACTGAAATTCTATTTTTGGCTGCTAGATGTCGCTCAACGTTAGGAAACTGACAGTTGTAGACACAGACATATTACATCTAGATAGACGCCGCAAGTGTACGTACTTCGCGTGCCCAAAGTAAGTGGAATTCACTTACTTGTCGTTGCTACACTTCAGAACGCGCTCGACCGTTATCGTAGTTAAACACCAGTCGAAAACGCGAAAAATGCATAATTGTGCCATTATAAACTGCAAAAGCACCATAGCTGAGGGCAAACGGGTAAACAGGGACGTTTCCTTCCACGGCCAAGTGATTTTGTAATCACAAGATACATAATTTATTTTAAAAACAATTATTTTGGTTTTGTATGAATTTCGACAAAACAAATATGCAATTCAGTGTATGCTTCATGATTAGTAATACATTGCGGCTTTTACTCGGTGCGATATATTTGTGATCCTTTGTTAATACGCCATGAATATCGAACGATCGCACTTTTGCATAATGCATTCAGTTTCTGTGGTATGGCCGCTTGTACATTTTTTTGGCCAAATTGAACATTTAGTGATGTGTACGTTAGGCAACACTGTTCTCGATTCTGATCGATTTTGAAAACAGAGGGACGAAAATTATTATGACCTTAGCAATATTATAAAAATATTCTATAACTCTTTTGTTATGTCATTTAGTAAAGTTTCGTTTTTTTTTTTTCACTTTTGTAGTATCTATTATCAGTAGTATCTCTAATTTCGATAATTTATGCACGTTTTCTCGAATGTCCGAATATAGTAAGCAAATAATTACTTATTAATTATTACTATTATTTATTTATTACGAGTAATACAAAAAAATATATAATACAAAGAATTAACAGTGCGCTGTCTTTACAAAAACATGGAGTTGGTCATACGTATGAGTTCGTTGCTTTCGAGGTCGAAGGTGGTCTAGTTTATCCCACCTAAGATGCTATCCAAATATGCCAAGTAGCAGAGTTAAAAATCCGAGAAATAATAAACAAATAACAAAAATTTCACACGAGGCCATCATTAAGTAAACCTCTTATGATTAATAAGATGTTACCATATTTTGTCAATAGTAACATTTTCATTTGTCTTGCCATTCATGAATTTGATCAATTACCAACGGAAAACGATCTAGTAAAATTAATTAAGACAGTAGCGTTTTCATTATTTAAGTTAATCGATAAGATCTTCTATTACAAAAAGATTTATATAATAAGCTCATTTTACTGGAAGGACAATAATTTTAATATTTGAAGTCGATTAAAAAGTAAAGTCTGAATTTTTTTTAAAGTAATATAAAGGACTAAACTATCTTATTCTAGTATTTTTGTACTATATTAATATTACGACTACTTGTAATCAACAAATACTTGAACGACAAATTATTCTATTTAGAATCGATTAATTGAATGGCATACGCATGTTTACGCGTATTCCGTTCAATCAATCGATCGAAAAACACTTAGTTGGCGCTTCTACGCTTCAGAACAAGGACGAAGATGGTCTAGTTTATCCCACCAAAGATGCTATCCAAATATGCAGAGTTAGAAATCCGAGAAATCATGATCAAATCACAAAAACTTTGCACGAGGTCGGCATTAAGTAAACCTTAAGTTACTTTAGTAAGATTTTAGATATTTTGTCAGCAGTAACATTTTCAGTTGTCTTGCCATTCTCAAGTTTGATAATCACCGATGGAAAACCATCTAGTAAATTTAATTAAGGCAGTTGCAAGGTCATATATTGACGTGCGTTTTCGTTATTTAAGTCAATCGATAAGATCTACTATTTCAAAAAGACAGTTATATTATAAGCTTGTATTATTTCAAGGACAATAATTTTAATATTTGAAGTTGATTAAAAATTGATGTTTAAATTATTAAGTAATCAATATTTTTTAAAAACAACTTTTAATAAAGAACATAACTATCTCGTTTTGGTATTTTTTTCTACTGTATTAATATTTCACGACTACTTGTAATCAACGAATACTTGAATCGATTAATTGAATGGAATATGTGTATTCCGTTCAATCAATCGATTTAGCGCGGAAGGAGGTTTCCCATCACTAAATAGTTATAGTGATGTTATGGTGGATACATAAAATGTGGCACGCTCGGTTTTCATACAAATTGCTGTGCTTGCGGCGTCTATCACGATATATGTCTGTGGTTGTAGATATCAGTCCGGTCACATACTAATTACTCATTAGAGTTTCTTTTAAACATGATTTTATTTCCAGACTTACGAGTAGATAGGCCGCTATTATAATTTGAAAAACCTAATTAATTTATTTTATTCAAACTTATAATTAAGACAATTGAAAACGCTAAGAATTCTTTTCTATGATTCTGCCATTGTTGTTTGGTTCCATTGAAACTACGCTTGCATTGTCATAACTACACACATCGGTTATTTACCGGAACACTTGAAGTGAGGCATACTGCTGAGTCAGGCCCTTTTTGCAGACACAGTACACTCAACTTTATACCTGACACAATATAACACTCCAGAATATACCCGCAAACTTGGATAGCCTTATACTTTATGATTACCATTGTACCTATGTCATAAGCTTGTTTGTAATGTACTGTGATTCAGCAAATAAACGAGTTATCTATCTATCTTATTAATTCTTAAAATGTATTGTTTTAACCGACTTTTAAAAAAAGGAGGTTTTCAATTCGAGTTTATTTTTTGTGTATGTTAAGCGATTACTTCGACATTTGTGAACAGATTTTTTTTGTTGGAAAGAGTTTACCTCAGTTAAGGTCTCATTCACATTTCAAGAAAGTATTCCACCTGTAAGGGTCGTAAATTAAGGGATGAACACGGTTAATTGGATTTCATCTAATTTCCGCTAACCGGTTTCAATAAAACTTGGCAAATATATAATAATATTATGTAATTCCACAAACTTTTGAGTAGTTCTTTTTTACAAAAATTATAATTATCAAAAAGTCTGATCGGTCATCTTATTCTTTCATATTATTAAGTCCAATTTGAAAATAAAAATTGGTTGATAGTCATTTTTTTCATACATTTGTATGTTTTGATTTCCTACTACGTAATACAAGTTCGATGATGTATCATTAAAATTGATTTGATCAATGTTAGACTGTTACGATTTTGAAATTTTCAACTGTTTCCGCTTTGTCACAAAATCTTTTTTTCAATAAAAGTTAAGTAAGGGTGTATCATTGACCTACTAACAAATGGACATCGGGTCTAATACAAAAACCACGAAAAAATATCCGAAGTTAACCTATACCTGTAGTGATATGTAACGAAATATAAAAAACTAAAACATTGAATTTAAATTGTAACGTCATTGCAGTACTGCCTAATTTTGCTTGCAACTTAAGGACCCAAAAACACCATATTCAGCTTGTATGGGCTTTGACGTCTTGATTGTAGGTAGTTAAGTTAGTTGTAGTTTGTAGTTAGTTAAGTTATAGAGTTGACGTACAATCGTAAAGTTTATTTTTGTTTAAATACAATTTATTATATGGATGCTTATGTAACCCATTGCGACAGAGTTATTAAATAAACTAAATTATAATAAAAAGTGAATCAGTCGATTCGCGTAAAGTAGGGCGCAAACTCAGCGTCTAAATCTTGTACGTGACCCGTACACAGCTTCTACTGGTATTACTACAAATGTGAAAATAAGCGTGTAGGTACTATAAGAAATGTACCAATATTCCAACTAAACGTAAACTCAAATATCCGTAATTCCGAAAACTGATTTATAATAAAACCATTACGCTTTCGAGTAATTTCGATGCTTTTCACAACAACAAAATTAGCTTTTGTTTTGTAATCTTTCTAAAAAAATACATTTGACATTATGAAAATTCGAGCTAACGTTATTTCGGGAAAATGTATTTTCTGACTTCTGATAGGTAATCCCAAGCCGTAAAACGAGTACAACAATATTTTGTTGCCTTGTACTATATTTTTTTTCCATCCTCTAAGGTTATTGCTAACGTTTTATAAAAAAAAATAATTTTAAAAATAAGATTAAAATCAAGGCTACTCTATAGTTTCTTTGTTCTAAATATTTCATCGCTTGTGGTTCGAACAATTGAAAATGACCAAGAAGCTTCTTGCAACTGACGTAATGGGTTTCTTTCCATCTTTAGCGCATGCAATGTGTAGAAAAAGGACGTTAGCTATTTGATTATTTTGTTTGCTTTTGTAATTTATATTTACGATTCATTTATATATAAATTAAATACTATAAAACTGTACAAAATAACACTTTTAAATGAGAACTATGATAACAATATATTTGTTTAGTGAATATACGATACCAAATGCTGTTTTTACACTTTACTGCAGTAATTTTTACAAGCTATTATTGTTGGTACTGCATGATTGACAACCGCGGTGCCAGTCGAACAAACGAAGACTGTTGCGCGATTGACGCTCTGTATGCGATTTTAACGCCCTACAAGTACGGACACTTTTTAGCGCGAAGCAGACGTCCATTTATTGGTAGGTCAATGGGGTGTATGTAGTAAGTCAATGTTAAAAGATGTTCATTTAATTGCCCCTTTATGTCTAATGCTTGTTTATTTAAATATAAACATTACTATTTTATAATCTCTCTTTGTTTTTGTTCCCCAAAAAGTGCCGGTATGTGTGTATGTATACTCGGGTGTGCTATTACAACGCCACAACACAAAAATATTCAGAAACAAATAAAAAAGCAAAGCAAAAGTAAAACAAAAAATAAAATAACAAAAAAAGCCAATGAAACAAACATAAACCAATTTTAAACATTTAAACAGTCAACTAAATTTCAATAAATATCATGTGTGCGGCTGTGGCGTACGTAAAAGGATCAACTCAGCTAATGTCACAGTTGTTTGAGTGTTAGAGTCCATTGTATCCTTAAAAAAAACATTCGAGTTAGTTAAGAATGAGCTATGAGTTACCTGATGCACAAGAGTATTGTGTAACGGGCGCGGCGCGTGCTTCCTGCGGCGTCTGGCGGCCAGCAGCAGCAGCAGCGCCGCAAGCGCCGCGCCCGCGCACGCCCCCCACCACCCCCACGCCCCCCACCACATACCACAGCCCTCACATCTGGAAACACAATTATGTATAAACATGAGTAGAGTTCGTAATTTGGTTGTGCCATTTGCAACAATGTATAATTAGGATTTACTGTAATGTGGCATTACTGTCAACACACAGGAGACAAGATTAGACTCTTCTATTTAATTATTGTAACAACAACAACTGTCTCCGTGGCCGAACGGTTACCATGCCGAAGTGTCAGGTTCGATTACCGGGCCGGGAGAAATATTTGTATGGCCTACATTTATTTCTCTCGTGAGTTTGGGTGTAATTTGTGGTTGTCTGTGTGTGTCCATGGCACCCGCGACACAGTGTTTCCCTAGTGCGGGGCTATGTTGAGTGTGTGCGTTATTTATTTATTTATTATTAATACAAAGGTCGAACACAAAGAACAAAGTAAAATGATCATTTATTCCATACGCAAAACTTTTTTAAAAACGAACGGTCGTACTACTCTATCCGCCGCCTTCTAGAACCAACCTTGAGTATCACTCCGTCACTACTTAGTTGTCAGATGTGCTTGATCAAATAATAGATGTGTTCCATGATTCGCTCCATGTTTTTAACCCATTTGGACATAACTCATAATGTTTATATTTCTTTATTTAATATTAATTAAAACCAATTTTCTTTTCTCTACCTACTGCTATTGCTTACACTTTTTTTTGGGTTTTCTTTGCACGTTGTGACACGTACAGGTAGTGCATTCAGAAGTAAATTGTCTTTACTCCTAAGATTTATTGTATCTACCATGGCGATAGTACGGCAGTATATCACATGCAATGTGTGATAAACCTCCCAGTAACATTATTTATTTCAGTTGATAAAACTATGTTGCCATTATTAAAATTGGTTTTTTTGTCGAATACTGAATCAGTGAGACACCTCACTAAAATTCGTTCTTACATTTATTTGGTAATGAACTATTGTTATATATACATTTTGAAGAACAAGGATAACGATATGAAATTGCATACATATGTAGCTATCTTTGTCCTTTAATCATCGCCGCGAAAATGACAAAACAAAAATGCGGGTTTTTTTAGTTCTTTGCAGTTTTTTTAGTTTTAGTTTTTTTTTGTTTGCGTATTCCTAATTACTCTCGTGTATTGAACTGTCTTAAAAATGTTTTCACCTTTTTCCGATAATTTATATATCAAGACCTCGTTTGTCGGTCTCAATTTTTACGTCAACAAAATTACTGTGCAGAACAGTCAAAATGTTTCAAAATCAGCAATGACCTTGCGGCCATGTTTGGCACTGCGATATTCTTTTGCAGACATTGGTCGGGGCGCTCGCGATGCGACAAAAATGTGAAGTCACGATGCTCGCCATGTTAACTATTGTGATAAAATTTGAAATGGCGATAGATACATAGGGCGCACTATAAGTTTCCGGAACTGGCCACTTACATAAACAATATTTAAAAAGTAATTACAACATTTGAAAATGGAACTCTTTGGCTGTAGAATACAGTTTGTTTCATCTATCACTTGTTTTTACATTGTGGCGTCATTTTAGAAATTGGTTGTCTACGTCACCACGAATTTAACTCGTTAAAAATTTTCGTAGTATTATTTTCTACGACTTTAAGTGCAACTTAACATCTCAGCGGAGCTTCGCTCGGCTTCAAACTGCTTTTGTCGATGAAGCACCATGCAAGACAATTATTTATAGCTGGTTTGCAGAATTCAAACGCGGTCGTGTGAATCTCGGTGACGAATTTCGTGATGGTCGCCCGTCCACTGGTGTAAACAACAAAAACATCGATGCTGTGCGCCGTATGATCAAAACATACAGGCATGTGACATATCATGAGATTCGGGCACCTTTAGGCATAGGCATGAGTCAAATACAATCAATACTACACAAACATTTGGGAGTGAAAAAGCTGTGCTCTCGGTGGATCCCGCACAATTTGAATGAGGTTCAAAAAACGGATCGCGTCCCAGATTCAACGAAGGAGCGTCAAATTTGGTGTGGGACATAATAACAGGTGAGGAAACATGGATTTATAGTTACGATCCCAAAACAAAGCTGCAATCGAGCGTATGGGTCTTTCGAGATGAACCGAAACAAACCAAAGTGGCGCGCGTGCAAAGTGCCTCTAAGCAGATGATTGCTTCCTTTTTTAATAAAACTGGCTACACGTGGCTACTGTTGCTTTGGAGAATCGTTGTACCGTGAATAGTGATTGGTACACGACCATTTATTTGCCGGAAATTATTGACAAACTCCGTAAAAATAACCGTAAACGCCATATCATCTTGCACCACGATAATGCCAGTTCTCACATAGCCAAACAGACAAATGAATTTTGGAAGGTGAACAACAGTCCCCGACTTGGCACCTTGTGACTTTTATTTATTTCCAAAAATTAAGAACCAGTTACGTGGTCAATGATTTTCATCACCTGAAGAGGCTGTCGAAGAGTATGAAAAATATGTTTCAGAGATTGTCACGGAGGAGTGGCATAAATGTTTTCAAAATTGGTTCATTTGTATGAAAAAGTGCATTAACGCTAACGATTCTCCGTTATTTTGAGAAACCATAAATTCATTGCTAACCGTTTATGGTATTTTTTTCTTATTAATTCCGGAAACTTAAAGTGCGCCCCACGTATAATAGCTTTGTCGCGGCGGCATGCTACGGGGGCTGGTTGTGTAAATAAATAAACAAGAAAAATTCCTTCAAATGTGTCTGTTATGCGTTCTTGAAAAAGCTGGTATGTAAATTAGGAAAATACCCAAATAATGCAATAATATGAGACAACAAGAGTTCTGAATCGTTAGATGTAAGAAAAAGTAAAAATTATAAGATGTGTGACATGACTACACCAACAAGACAAAACAATATTAGGACTTTAAGAGAAATAGTATTAAACCTGATCACAAGTAACTACGGAGATTACTATAAAATTTATACTGATGGTTCTTAAGGTACAAATGGCGTGGGAGCAGCCTTTTTTGATTCACCACAATATGTATCCCTTAAACAAAGATTATGTCAGGATTCCTGTATAATGAGAGCAGAGTCAACTGCAATAGTAGAAGCTCTATCCTTTGCTAACTCTGTAGATACTAGTAAAGTCGTTATTCTTAGATTCTAAAAGTGCACTACAACATTTAGTCCGATGTGTTTTGGGAGGCCAAGGTATGCCCACAGCTTAAGAAGCTTTGAGATTACTAGTTAATTTACTGTCCAAGAATATATGTCATAATGCTGCAATGTATTCTATCACACATCAAATGCATTGGTCTCGGCTTTTAGACTACGTACTGGCCAACTTCCGTTACATAAGTTTGAATAAAAAAAGCGGAATCTCGACTATGTAAATTCTGGTACAAACTTGAAGACATGCTACATTTAATGGAATGTGGCGATTATATGGCTCTGAGAAACGAATTTTAATTAGGGGATATTCGGCAGGTTGGGGAGTTAAAATGTTGTGTTGGGTGAACTGTTGACGAAGAGGGCTAAAACTTTATACTCATATTTGAAGTCTTGTCTCTCACTATGAGGCGACACAATATAGCAGAATAATATAATCCAGGTATTGACATCACAAGGCTGACATTGACACCCAAATGCTACATTACTTATGCTACAGGCCTTATTAAAAATAAGATCATAAAAAAAAAGATCTGAATAATTGGAATTTATTAATTGTCATGAGTGCTCTCAACAATTGATATTGTTGTGTCTAATGGAGGGCCATTCTGTTCTAATGAAGAGTGCAGCATTTACTGAAATTCGAAAATGTTTACATAAATTGTGGGTAACGGTGTTGGTTACTCATTAAGTAACTATTGTTAGCTATAACTATCTACTACTTGTAATGTGGACTGTTTCTTTTCTACCCCAATTTACTTAGTTTATCTATTACTGAGATTTGTTCAGAAAAAGCTAAGGTTTATTGTGAATGGGACACCCAGCTTTTCATTGGTTAAAACAATCACATAACAATATTAGGACGATCTACAAATGTCAATTATGTGCGGCAGACATGTCTTAGTCTATTAAACCATCTTCCTTATGAATTAGACATTTTTTTATGATACTAAGAGAAGGGACAAACAAGTTGCGCGTCTGGTGGTAAGCAACACGCCTGTCCATAACAATTACAGTGCCACTCAGAGCTTTAAATTGCAAAGATCTGAGATGCACTGAGAGTATAATCCACTTATATGTGTATTATTTAAAGACTCTGACTAAGGATTCCATGACATGGCAAATTTAAGACCGGACAAAGTAAAGTAATCATCAATCAATGAGCGCTTTGTCCACAGTCTTTGTCCAAAGTGTACAGTGCCAAGACAATACTAACATTGCAAATGTTACCGACTTTACCAGTAACTTATACATTGTATTATACATACTTTTACATAAGCATTATAGATTCAAATAAAAAATTATAAAGGTACAATCACTCATAACTGTGCAAGTTATTGTCAAATGGCAGACTACAAATTGAAATCTGTGCCAAATTTTCACTGTGTAATGAAAATAAAAAAAGCCAATACAAATTATGCTTTGTAAAACGCATCAGTTTCTTTACATAATAATGTTTAATAGTCTTATAAGCAAATTTTAATTTTACTTCACTATTTTTAAGACTTATATTCGCGTGTAGAATGAGGGCAAGAGTGTGGCAGGCAATTGTGTATTTTTAGTATATGTACTCATGTCTTCACTTTTAATAAATTCACAAATCGTCAAAAAGTACTATTTTTACAATCGACTGATTAAAAATAATCCAAAAACAAACTCATTAGGCTGTTATTGCACGTATAAACACGAAAATGTTGATTTTACGTGCGTAATCATTATTAGAGGACAAAGATGAGATTATTGATAAATAACATTTGATATTAATCTTAAATACTGATAATATACGTTGTAATTAGTTTATGTATTATCTATTGGCTATTACTACGGGTAATATTCTTTGTTTTTACATTTTACCAAGCATTTATTGAAGGCAACAATCCACGAACAAAGTGAGTGCAAGTAAGCAAGTCTATGATTCATTTTCGTTGCAAAATATCAACTAATCATAAAGTTATCCACGTTATGACGTGAAGGGAAAGTGTGTTGAAGTTTTTTATAGCGTTTAAAGAAAGATAAATATAAAGAAATGCGTGAAAAATCCGTACGTTTCATTTATTTCCACTGAAGAAGTGTTATACTGATTTCTCGTATCACCATCCAGTTAGCATGCAAGGGATCCTATAGGGCAATTAGGCGATCTATAGACACTACACAGCACTTCCAGTCCACTTTATTCGCGGTTTTCGCGCAAAATTCACACGTTTCCACTATAAGTACTCGATTCACAATTTTTGACGTTCCATGAGTCGGCCATTTTTATTTCGCGACAACAAAAGATATCGGTGTTGCAAGATTTGAACATTACATCTCCTGTGTCTTTCGTTCGCGCGTTGGACATTACAAAATATAATAAAATTATTATTGTTCTATGCTATCAGTACCTATCTATAGTAAAATATTTCAAACAATTAATATATGATAAATAAATAAATAAATGATATAGTATTCTTATAAACTAAACACTTATGTAACATTCTAGTTTATTAATATTTCAAAAGCAAAATAGATTTACACGTTTTGCTCAAAAAATGTTCACAGGCGTTTCTACAATAGATCCTTTAAATCCATTGACCTACCAAAAATCAGTAAAATAATT